ACCCTTTTTCCTACCCATCACCGAAGGACGGAGGATATATTCAATTTATCAAATCGTTTTCAACACCCAGAAGCAAGCTTCAGAGACGCCACAAAGTATATAAGTCGATTTAAGCATGTCCGTCTGTCTTTCCGCCTGCCCATGTAATACCGCCAGGTCGCAAAGTCCGTTGGAGCTATTGGCTTCAAGTTTCGCAAAAAAATCGAAAGTTCCTGCGCAAAAGTTGGTATTGAAAATGAATCAAATGAGTCGAAGGTTACGCCAACAGTACCATGCAAGTTGAGAACAACTCCAGTTCTCAAAAGGAATAAATAATTGATTTTTTTGTTCACTACTAACAAAACTATAGCAGATAAATGAACAAAACTTTAAGCATATATTCCCTGCGCGATGCTGCAGCACTTGTACAAAAATCGAAAAAATTGACCATGCCTACCCAATGCTATAGTGTATCAAGGTTTATGTTCATAAAGCGCAAAAACAATTTTCAAAAACCCCCTAAAGTATACAAATTCGTGACCAGAACATTAATATATCGTTAAAAAAAAAAGAATTTGAAAATGAGCCCAACCGGTGAAAGGACTTGCCTAGAACGCCCACATGTTTGTGCAACAAAAACTGTGAATACTTTCACTTTATTCTGAAGATGGAAAAAGTCAGTCTCGCTCATCCATTATTGCAGAGTATGAAAATTTAATTCCTCTCCTTTGTTTTAGTCTCTTCTTTAGGTTAGCGGTGATGAGTATAAAAGATTCGGTCATTACCTAATGTAATTTTCTTACCTGTTTTTCATTATAACTTTTTAATTGAATCGTGCACAGGTACACAGGATAGGGTTATTTGTGGGACAGCAGTCTTTTATCGTAGTTTTCCATAACCATTTTGCATAAATGTGGCTGAATTTGGCAATAGACCTTTGATCTCAGATAATGCCATGAAAAGAAATCCAGTGCTGTCAACTGGTTGACGAATATTCCGATTATATTTGCTACGAGATTTGCGGCCTGTGGCCTTCAAACTTTCATTATTTTTGAAATATTGTGCAACGTTTTATCGCACAAATATCGCGAAAATTTTGAGAAACCCTATGTATAACATCCGTCTAAATTTTCTGTACTTTACCCGGCTATTTAGATGCAACGATCAAGTTTTAAGGTAGCTGTCATAAAGAATTTGTTGAGAAGCTGTCAGGAGACTATCCCCGTTAACTGTGCTATTACTGCCCATCAGATGAGGCGAGCACAGACTTGTAGGTCGACATTTTCTCTGTTGCCGCCACTACAATGCTGATCAAAAGACGACTTGACAATATGCCTGCTTGTGACGTGCATCAGTTCTATTTTTAGACGAGCAGCCATCAAAACTTCATTTAACCAACGAAAGATGTTTAAGCTTTTCGCGATTTTACTTTATTCAGTTTTGATCGATTGCAGGCAGCAAATCTGCGCATGTCATTTGGTTTCTTGGATCCTACGAGGAAACCACATTTCAGGTTACATTAAACAAAAAGTTGGCTTTTCCATCGTTCGTCATATATAAGTCTAACTAGCGGAATTTCATTGTGTTCTTGTGCGACCATACCGAATACTAACTATTAACGCGTATCGAGAAGGTTTCGGGAATATCGGTAACGAAACAAAATATTTAACTTTATTTGATTAAAATGTCATAAAATGTTAAATATTGACTTCAGCGACTTTTCTATAAATGCGAGAAGCCTTTATTTGCAAGTATTATAAAAGTTTGCCGGATTGAAGATGATAACAACCCGTCTATTGACCGATAATGACATGCCTAACTTGAGTGAAAAGAGTATGGAATGGAATCTTGTTCATTGTGGGCACATCAGTTATCCAATCTCAAATACTAATCACCAGTGTAATAAATATTTTGACTTATTAACGATAATCAGACAAGAGACGTAAGGACGGACGGACGAATGAATAAAAACTGATGCGCAGATGCAATAAATGCATTTGCATCGTGCATCGTGCATCATGGATCGAAATGACAGTAATCTCTACTGCCTTACGTATATAGTATAACCATTGCTGAAAATCAATGTAAACAATTTATAGGAATATATCGGAAGAAATCGTGCAAAATTGAAATAAAATTCAATTCATTTCATATTGTCTTGATGCAAACTTCTTATAAGAGCAAAATTATCGGGAATAGGGTGCATTTTTGAAAGGGCTGCAAATCGTATACTCCCCGCATTTTGAGCATGGCTGATGATCTTTGTCACTGTCATACAATGTATTGGTTTGGTAAGAAAGAAATTTCGGCATTCTTTTTCTCCCTTTCTCTCTCTCTCTCTTTCTTTCTTTCTTTTTTGCTTTCTTTCTTTCCTTCTCTGCAATCGAAAGACGGATAGAGAAGGAGAAAGAGAGAGAGAGAGAGAGAGAGAATGAAAGAGAGAGAGCGGTAGAGAGAGAGAGAGAGAGAGAGAGAGAGAGTACAATGGAGTTTCTTTCTTGCTAGCCTATTATTATTAACACGAGAGAAAAACACGCCACATCTTCATTGTGAAAAATAGTTTAACGTAAGATGGTTTTCCTTTACGCTTCTCAAACTTGTCTTTAGCTAGACATTTGTATACAAGCGAAAATCACTGAATGTTAAGAAAAAATTTACTACTACATACATATGTACATGTGTCCACTTATTAATAAAACCAAAGAAAAGTCAAAAAATTGGCTAAGTTGGCTAAAAATTGACTTTATTTAGCCTTAAGTTTAAAACGTATGTCTAAATCTGTCATCGTAATACTTATTTTGATAAAATTTGCAATATTTCCAATCATCTAACCTTTCGCATCCCCTTATTCGGTTTCATTTGTTCATAAAGGAGTCTCAAGAAGCAAAGCTTTGCTCTCACATTTCTACTTAAATCAATATTTGATTGAAATGGAGAAAATATGAAGAAGAAATAACATTGATTAGTTTTTACGTACGGACTTCCAACCCCCTTTTTATAGCAGAACTTTGGATTGCCGGCAATTGATATTCTCTTTCTCGACATATAAAATTAAACATCTTTCTAACGGCTCTTAGTGTATATGTAATATTCAGCACTTCGAATATATTCGCAATAACTTTCGAAAGCACCACACATCAATGACGCTATAATGAATGTGAACAGCATACGAACTCGAAAAAGGCATGTATTCCCAGCTCTTTTCTAAAATAACACCAATAAAAACAAATATACTTTTTTACACGAATTATTTCTTTTAGCACGAATCACAAAAGAGTTTTTTGTTTGGCAGAGTCTCAGACAAACTTAGGTACACAGCAACAGACGATAAATAGGGGAATATCGTAATCAGAAATCCATCGGTTCAGACCCACAGATACGTTAGTGACTTGGTCGACTACGGTGAATACCCGAACACAGTTGTGCTAGACATATCTAACATATCTACTGATGATAGCATTTTTGCTTCAACTTTTGGCATTTAACGCAAGTATTTATCAGTGTCAATCAAAGGTTTGAAAAAAAAGTAAACTCGATCGCCGAAGCAGCAATCCCGTAATTAAAAAAAAAAGTCGCGATTTGCGTATACTGGCTGAAAATAATTGAATTCCAGGATATAGGTTTCTTGCTTAGAAGCATATAAATCTTCTCATGCACCCGGCACACTTGACAGGCATTTTACTTTCTCTAATTGAGACTATTATATTTACATCTAAATCTTGTTTTACACGGTAAACGCGATCCCTAGAAATCCGTGTAAAAAAACACATGCGACTTCTAGTAAATATGGGAGTGTGTTCCACAACTTCCAAAGAAACGTGGAAGATAAAAAAAGTCTAAATACTTTCCCAAAAATTAATGGTCAAATCTATGTTATTATATATTTATAAAACAAAAGTAATTACTTTTTGTTACAAAAAAAAATTAAAATCAGTCTAGACTGAAAATTCAGTCCATAAATACATACATATATAAAAATTAAAAATTGAAATTAGGAATCAAAATCAATTTCCCAACTATTTTTGATAACGAGGGTGCAGGTTTATTGCGAACTGGACCAAAAATGCTATCATCAGCAGATAGATCAGGAATTGCTAGCACAACTCCTGTCAGATTGATCCAAACGAACAATGATCATAAAATTCGGCTATTCCCTCTAGTACACCAACTTACTAACACATGTGTGGACATAATCCGACGGACTTCTGATCACGGCATTTCTCCAATTATATTTTGTTGTTGAATGCTTACGTTTCTGTAAAGCACTGTCAAAATCAGAGTTAAAAAAGTGCATTTGTCTCATCAGCTTTATCTGAAAATCGGATAAAAAACCGTGTAAAAAAAGAGTTAGATGCACTTATTATTTGAACATAATTTACTGCTTCATTATTACTTCGTGTTTAACCCCTTACATTCCTATGTCGAATTTCGTTCGTTATTAATGTCCTCTGTCGGTTTTTTGCTGGTATGAAACCTGGTGTTAAGATCTACTCTTTCCGTTTCTCAAATTGTTTGTACGACTCTTGATATTCAGCTACACAAAACTTAAGATTACGTTGAAATTCTATTTCGTAACAAGTTTTTGTTCACTAATGCAAATGTCGTGCATTGATCCGTATAAACAAAGCCGAGTTGTCTTCCTTCGATTGCTGGTAGTTTGAAATCGAACTGCCAGTAATCGCAAGTAATCTCGATTTCCTTCAAATACTGGCCCCGACTTCCTTTTCGTTGATATCCTATTTAATTTTTTTGTTTTGCTTTATCTATGTTTTAGATAGAAAAGAATCATAATAACACCGCAGGATGTGAAGAACATTTTTTTATTCGTTGCGAATGCTTTTTATATATTCAACAAACAAAAAAAAAAAAGGAAAAAAAATGAAAAAACAATTGCTCATATCATCGAATATTATTATGATAATTGTCAAAATAAGAAAAACCTAAAAATAGAATGAATAAAGCAATTTAAGTGAAAAATAAAAATGTCCATATAAATACATATAATAAAAACGGTATTTTTATTTTGGCCATAAATTATTGGTATAATAATTGACATCATGGAACGTAGCCAACGTCTTCATCAGTATATACATTTTTTGGTATAGCACAGGTTGTCGTACTGTCGCATTCCATCATTTCCGTGTCGCGACATTTGGCGGCGTGCAATTCTCTTCTAATTTCAGGTGTAATTTTTGCATGTTTCTGCTTTCTATAAGACAAAAACATGAGAAATCGACAAATTGCTACACCTTCTTATAACAATACTAACCTTAGTAACGCCAAGAGAGCTTCTCTTTGTTCAGATGATATGTCATTTTTGTAGCGTTGCACAAAAGTTAAAAGACTCTGGTGCCACAAAATTGGCATATCTCGTTTATCATTTTCGAATCTCAAGAAGTGAAAAACTGCCGCATCGATAACGCGATACGGTAATGCGTAGCGTTTGTCTAAAAAGTAACGTATAAATATCGAATTGGCTCCAGTATATCCCATTTCGCAAATTTTTAATAGGCATGCCGATGAATGCAATACCGGTACAGAGTTCCGCGCTATCACGCTACCAAAAATAATTGCTTCACGTAAGGAGCAATCACCTGCTTCCAATAAAGGTAATATAATACCTTTCATAAAGGCTGCAGGTTTAAAAAGAGCACGTTTCAATGCATTATATAAATGCACATTAAGTCTTTTGTACTCGCACAAATCGTCGCGTATACGTGGCAGCAACACTAAATTATAAAATCTTTGTGCCATAGCTTGGGATAAAACTGAAGAAAATACTCTATAAATATTATAAATAAACCGATGTTATCTCAATTAATTTCTCGTGTATGAAACATATCACACACCTAGTTCCCTGAAACATAGCGGCTGCACTCCAGTTATGTGGTTCGGTTATAAACAATATTTGCTCCCAATTTCTTAATCGTGGTATGATTTTGAAAGCCTTAGGCACTTTACCGCTACGATATCGTTTCATAACGTCACGTACTCCTTCATACATTTCTTTAACTCTATAATAACAAACTCATAATAACGCAAAATTTTGAAAAAATATCACGTTACCTTGCATCAACTTCTTCAATTCTTAATGAACCTTCATCGGTAAGTTTCGTTTGAATATCGGCCTGCTTCTCTTGTATTTTTTCAAAAATTATTTCGGCTAACTTCACAGTGCGCTTGCTTCCTTTCGGATTTTGGAAACGTTCAAATGCTTTGAGGTCTTCATCATCCATTTCCATATCGTCAATAAAATCATTTTCGCAAACATTAATATTTTCATCTTCTTCTTTAAGACTTCCTAATTAATAAGAAATTAAGCCGTATATATAAACAGTCAACGCTCACAACAAATGTTTTCACAAAGTCCACAAACCTAAATTGAAACTTGCAGAATTCTTTGTTATTAAATTGGGGAAACTCTCTTCATCCAATTCTTCATCCAACTTCTGCTTTCTGGCAACCGCTAGTATTTTTTGACTTGTCTTGCTATCCATTACCTGAATAAGAACAGGAATGATAACGAGTGTTGTTTTTCCAGTTTAAGTTGGAGCGCACTCCAGACACTAGGTGACTTGAGTCACCGTAAAATTACATACTACCCACTGTTGAACAGGAATATACTTACCGACGATTCCTCAGCACGTAGATGAACTTTTTGCCTGTTTTTTTTCTTAGCCACTTTGTTATCCATTAACTGCGCTTCCAAAGAGACATTCTTAACAGGAGCCAGCTTCAATTTCTTGGCTTTGCCCATTTTGATAAAAGATTTACAGAGAATTCAAGTAATTTGCAATAAAACTTTGATACGGAATTTCTTTCGGTCATAAACAGAGACAAACTTCTGCAGCACGTGCTTAGTGTTGCCACGCGACAAAAGCTTACCATCAAATGAATAGAGACATTTTGTTTCTTAAATATGATTATCAAATTGCTCAAAATCTTACGAGATAAATTACATTTCTAAATTTACAAATCATATGACTCTAGAGGTAACTAAACAAAGATACCAATATGAAAGAATCATAGAAAAAGAAATAAAGATGATTGCTATTAAATTTTGAGCTTGTTTACCTTATTTTACTTTTATTTTGTATTTCAAATGATCTAACATATTATTTACACTCTTATAGGAAAACCGAAGAATAGTCTATAAGCGGATAACACACTGAGGCGTTATTTTCAGGTTAAAAACTCTCAAGTGGTAAACACAATGGGTAGCCGCGCTACCATATTGCTGGAAAATGTAAGTAAAAACATATGGTTTTAGAACCGGAAATAAGGAGATTAACGGAAACGTAAACAATATACTTATAAAAGCAATAGCAATAACACAGCGAATATAAAAGCAAACGAGCTGTTTATTGACTAGTGATAAAGAAGTTAGTTTCGATATATATATGAGATGTACTTTTGTATATTAATTGATCCATAATTTGGAAACTACCATTTATCTAAAAAACAATGTGATGAATATATATTTTAACATTAAAATAAATGGTCTTTAGTGCTTGTCTTCCACTTCTTACAAAATGGTGCATGTATAAATCCAAATTGCAAATCACATAATGTAAAAAAATTATGTACACTAAACTAAAGTAAACATAAATTAGATAAATAGTTTCTAAATTTAAATAAATCGTCTTTATTTCTTTCACGATTAAAAAATCATTAGCTTATTGAAGAATATAAGTTTTGCCGTCTTGAAGGTCATGCAACATTGTTGTATATAGACTGTATATAGACTTCAACTCTATCTGCACCCATTACCAATCCACGATTGGATAAAGAGAATGCATTTGAAGAGAGATTGAAAAGTTTAAAGTAATTCTACCAAGGTTCGTCAAGTTAACACAATCGTAGGCTTTATAGCACGACAACCACTTTACCAGCTTTCTTTAGACTCATCATGGAAAAACACATATTCGTAGATTTTCATAACAAGAAAACCATTAGCTTTTGCTTAACCATGAGGTTAACCACTTTGTTTTTAATTACCTGCAACAAGACTGTCAAGCATCCCCCACAGAGTGTCCTGAACATGTTATACCCCATTCTGTCATAGCCTTTGGCGGTAGCGTGTTTTCTCAATTGTAAAACATGCTTTAATCCGCGTAAGGAACAGGGTGTGTTATTGAATTTAAGAAACGGAATTTCAGTTATTGTAATCTGATGATATTTGTCGAGATAATCGAAATAATTGAAGTAGTATTTTTTTCTGATCCCCTTTTTTAATTATATTCCTTATAGCCATGACCTTGTTAAGAGCGAATTCCCGCTCTCTGTTTGAACGAATCTTATTTAGGGTGTTATGATGGGTTGAACCACAAGCAATAGATTTGACTACCAAACACTGATCAACGCATTAACGCATCTGGTCTCTTTAGCCTTGCAAAACGTTGATATATGCCCAAAAAACTTCCACACTGAAAACGTGGTTTTAAGATGGGAATAAAATAATCGACCGGAGGAAGGCAAAAGTTGAACTTGATGGATTTAGAGATGCATTCGTTTTTATCCGCTGAACATCTCTGCCGAAGTCTAATAGCATTTTTGATCAAATCATTAACATCATAACTCAATGGGACGTTTCGGACTATACCGAATCTTTGCGTACAGGATCTTGGTATATACGTCTTGAGATATTTTTGTTCAAAGTCATTATTATTATTATTGAAAGAGTTGGCATGCAGGGCAGTGTTAAAAAGTAACCTGCTTCTGGCTTTGCTTTGAGACCTCTCATAACGTTTAAGCTATTCACAAAGGTAAAGGTCGGAGGAGATGTTCATACGATTGCCTACAACGTTTTCACATGTTTCAGCAAAGACGAAGAAATTACACTGCATACTAAAGTCATGATTTGGAATACTTTTGGCGCCCGAATCAGACAAATTGTCAACAACCTGGTTGTTAGGCAACACTGGACCAGCAGGTAAGAGAGCCAACTTCACCCAATTCCCGGCCGTCTCCGATCTATTATTTTCAGTTATATTCAAAAGACATTTTCATTTACAATAATCGGATTAGATCCGGTCTCCATAGGAAGGCAGATATTGGTTTAACTGTTACGAACACTATCCTGGGAGTACTTACCAAAAATCCAGAAATAAATGAAAACTAAAACTTCTTATAATATTTCATTTGAAAATGTAATCACTAAAGATTTATTTTAGTTATTGTTGTTTGCAATTTTAAAATGTATTTTCCTCTTAATTGAAATAAGACAATTTTTCAATTTTTGGTTACTTTTTTCTTTAATATAACCACTTGACTAAAACAAGAAAGACACATCTGGAAAATTTTCAGCTGCCTTTTGCTTCGAGTGCTGGTTGTACCGATTGATCACTTTCTGAATCAATCTAAGTTTGTCTGCCCGTATGTTGATGTTGTATTTTTGTGTTCAACCTACAGGTTTTGATGAAAACTCGGTGCATGGACATTTTTTGCTTCAAAAACAAGCGCTATTGAAATGGGTTCGGTTCGAACCCCATTTTCGACCGCTTTCCATGCAACACCTTACTTTGGGAAGTCGTTGTATAAATAACTAGATTGAGCGTAGCACCGTAGGATATATAAGGGCTAGGTCATGATCCACTATAATTCTTCTTTGTCAAAATTTATGTTAAATGGGTCTAAAATTACTGGATGTAGAGATCAAGAGAGAAAATAATCGACCGTTAATTTTATCAATTTAAGAAAACCTAGTGATTAAGTTTATTTTCTGAACAAAACTTGAACGATTTCATTACGAGATGCAGCACCTGCTAAAAGTATACTTTATGCTTAAAAACATTCCTTACATTTTACAAACTTTTTCTTTCGATTTCATCTTTGATATATAGGTTTATTTTATAATTTTAACTAAATAAAACAAATTACAGGCAAACGCTTGTTCAAGGATAGGGGACCAAAAAATATTCATTAACGACTTTAAATATTCTGCGTATGCGATGGGCTATCCGTGTGCGACGGCGTAGTAGAATTATTTTTAATCTGACTTTCATCCACATCATCTTCAGAGTTTTCATCGTCTTCAACAGGCAGTCCGGCTGCCCGCATTTGCGCAGTGTAGCGTTGTATTTTATTTTCCTGATCTGTTAGCAATTCAAGTAGGTCCTCTTGATCTTTTTGCAGTTTTTGATAATTTTCCTTACTAATAATCGCAGATTCGACCGCCTCCTGCAATCGTTGACGCAATACTTCCATTTCCTGTTGCAAGCATACATTTTGGGCGTAATATAAATGGGCCTCATTGGGAGCCGATTCATTGGTTTTATGTACTTCGTTACTGCTTGCGAGCGTTGGTGACGATTCGGCATCATCCTTTTTCGCCGCTGCCAATTGGGCTTTAAGTAGAGTATTTTGATCGACGAGTTGCCTATTCAAAGATTGCACTTCAGCTAGTTTTTCTTCTCGTTCCGAATCACACTCCTCTAATTTCTTCACAGTTTCTTGCAACGAATTTATTTGCGTATCAAGGCCTCGTATAATGCCTTTGTACTGTGCAACTAGTGCCGACGCCTCGGAGCTTAGAGTAAGTTCTGTCAATTCTATTCCATTTACATCAAATCCTGTCACTAGTTTGACAACTAAGGCTTCCAGACCTTTAAATAATTTACAGTACTCATAGTCGAGTAACAATTCTCCGGCTGATTTGGCACGAATTTGAGGCTGTTTGCACGCTCTGCTGTAAGCCTCGTGACGAGAAACTTCGTTCAATTTATTGCAAAAATGTTCCTGACCAATACGTTTGATAATCAACTGGCAAATGTCATCACGTTTTTGACTTGGTAAGTTGTTATCATTAAATTGTATGCACAGTCCCATCAGGAAAGCGCACAGACCTTGAACAAGATGCTCATTCTCATCATGTTCATTACCACTTATCTGAGCTGTTAAATAGGCCATTGTACCCTGGGTTTGCAGTAATGTTTTTACTGCGCTGGGACAATGAGCTATCCACATGCTCAATAACATCAATAAGCCGACTTTGCTTTGCAATTTGTAGCTTTCTTGTTGTAAAAGGTTAGTGCACTGTTCCAGTAGTGTAATTGGCTTGTGACCACCGGGAGTAGCAAGTAAGACACGTAATAATTCTTGTTTTTGGTGAGTGTTTTCAACGAGCGTATGCATTAAAGCAACGGCGGAAAACCAATTTGCCAAAGAATCTGACGAAAAAAGCCCGGTGCATAACAGCTGGCCAGTTGACAATGTTGATACATCTGTAGCCGAGGATGGCAGCAATGTTTGAACAACCGCCTGTTGCCCAGAAGAGTTACGAAACAAATAACATTGGAATGAATATAGTACTGAGCAACGTAAGGCTAACAGCTGCTTTTCATTGATCATCGTCATTAGAAGGACAACTATAACAGGTCTTGGTGGGGTGCTAGGCGCCATTACCTTTCTCAATTGTTCTTGATTCTCTGCATTTCCTCTGACCACTTCAGCCACTGTATTAATTGTCTCCATTAGTACATCTGCGGGCACCCCTCCCCCCATTAGTATGCGGCATAAAGCTTCTAAAAGCCCTGATTTGCGCATGGTATACTGACAAGAAGAGACAACTTGTTGCTGATTGCTAGGAGTGACCAGAGACCGAACTACTTGCAACATACAGTGCATATTGGACATTTTCTGAGGAGCCCAACCAGTTTCATCATTTTCAGTGCTGGAAAGGTCAAACATTGGTGCCAGTCGCTGTATATAGGATCCTTCTTTAAAAAACTGTTGGTTGCTGGAGTTATTTTTCAAAAGGTTTAGCAGCAAAATTAGGCAATCCTCTACAACGATACCGCCATCTGAACATCCCTCATCTCGAATAATGTCAAAGATTTTGTCGAAAGCGTTTTCAAACGCAACAATTTTTTGTATATTCGAATTGCCTTTAGTAAGTTGTATTAACAATAATAAGGCATCATTTCGTATTACCTCACGACTGTCCGACAGTAAATCCATTAATTTTGACACGCCCATAGGACTTACTAATATATGTTCTTGTAAATCTCGTGTTTTATTCTGTATCAAGGTTGTTAACAACTGTATGGCAGCACGTCTAACACGAAAATCGTACTCTTCTAAATATCCCATAATTAATGTGACGTTTTCGGGATTCTTGAGAAACATCTCAGTAAATTGTTCACCGACATTCAGCGAAACCATTGGATTGTCTGCTTCTTCATCGAACTCTTGTGTGGCCACAATATTACAGAGAGTCTCTAGTACATAGCTAATAATTTCGCAGTCTTGGCGATCATTCTGTAGGACCTGGACCATTGCAGGCATACCCTGGGCTCCTACTTCAACACGATACTTTCGTGACAGAGCTCTAAGAGCACGGCAGGCATCGCGACGGTCTTCTAACAGTGTAGCAGATGCGGCATGGTCAACTAGTTTTTCAACCGTTTCTGCCGGACTTGGCTGCTGACCAGGCTCTGATGCCCCCAATACTGTTTTGATACCACTTTTCAAGAAATCCATCCTCGGAAAATAACTCTGCCTTATTAACGATATAGTTTATTAACAACACTACATTAACCGTCCTGCCCTTACTTAAACAATTAACTAAATGCCAACAAATAATTTTCACTTTATCGCCATATGCAGTGTTACCATGTAAGTTCGCTTTTTCTTTCTTTTTTGTAATTTGAAAACTAAAACATTAAACAGAGTTGATAAGAGGATAGTGAAAGCAGTTTTTTGATAGTAAAAAAAAAATTAAATATCTTATCTTACCATAAGAGGTATGTTTATATGAAGAAAAAACAAATGACCACCTCAACTGGATATCTCTACTTCGAGAAAAATATGCTTGCAATATTAAATCCCACAAGTTGTTCCAAATTGATCGAACGATAGATTCTTCTCTGTATTGTCAGCATCTCATATAGTTAAATGACAAATTTGGGAAAAAGAGTCAACAATTTAACGTTTCGGCAAATAATTTCAGATGTGCTATGCTGATTGTAAAATGATTGTGGCAAAAGGTTATCGATCAAGCAGACATGTATTTGGGATAATAAAATTCGTATAATCCGCCTGAGTACCCGAAGGCGAGGAATCTTGACTAGCAAGTCAATGATCGTTGGTTCGAACCTCAAGTGCGGTAGAGTTTTTAATAAAAGCCGATAGCCTTAGATGCTAGTGCTTTTAAGAGTTTAGTCTTAGAGTTTATTTCTCTGGCGAAATTAATAATAATAATAATAATAATAAAATTCGTATAAGAAAAATGTGTATAAATTTTCAGGAAGACACGCAATAAAGTTTTTCCTTCACTTAATACAATTTAATAAACCCGTCTTATTTAATATATTTTTAACATAAAATTAACCAAAGCAAATAATATAATTTTTGTTATTGCAGAGCAAATGACACAGGAGTACCGAATGTAGAAAGTTCTAATTATATTATATCAAAATAGTGTTTTATATAATTTGATGCTGGCAATAACTTTTCGTTGAAAACGTGAACATAAATGAAAGAGACGAACCTACTCTAAAAACGTTGAATTAGACAATTATAGTTACCATTTCCACATCAAAGAGGGCAAACATATAAAAAAGCATAAAAGTCTCTCTTATTTCTCTTTGAGCAGAAAACGAATATATTTTACACATATATTTTTATAAATTTTGTTTATTTTGCAAAATATGTCGAGAGGAGTGAAATCCAGTTCAACCTGTAGCAATAACATTAGACGCAGTATAGTTTAATTAGTAATTTGTGGTATCTTGCTATCAATAATTAGAAAGAAGAAAGTTCTCTTTTCTTTTTTTTCTTGTAAAAAGAAAATCAAACGGCAACCATAACAAATGGATGAAAAGAAAGTAGAGTTTTTAAAGCAAAAAAGTCAAAGTGATCTTTCAACATCAATTGAAGAATGTGGAAACATCAATTGGACGACATTGTCTCAATGGGTACAGTGTATTTGTGTTGTGACATTTGATTTAAATCTAGGGCAGGCGTTGGAATACGTGTACCCACCTGAGTTTAAACCAACTGAACAAGAAATAACAAATATCTGCTACTTGGCGTTTCCGGATTCCAACTCTGGTTGTATGGGCGACACGAAATTTCATGTACGTTTGCGAACATCCCCCGATGGAAACCTATCTAAAAAATTGCTGCAATTTCAAGTGTATAATAATGAGTGTCCGCTTATACTCAAAGCTGACCAATCGCATTATTGGGGCTTTGTTTATTTCAGGCAAAAACGAGATCTAAACTTGCCGCGAGGATATTTCCAGAAAAGTTTTATTATAATTACTCGCTTACCCTTCTTTAATCTCTTCTTTGAATTGCTAAACTATTTGGCACCCAAATATTTCAATGCAGGCAAAGGTATACTGGAAGAAGCCTGCATACACATAAATTCAAGGTGGCCGTCCTTGCAAGTGGGTGCTTCACTGAACCTCCCATTATTCGAAAACTCTTATCAAATCCTTATTCCAAAGGCGAGTAGTCGGAAAACGATTGCACCAATTGAATCTCTTGAAAATTTCAAAGTGGAGCGTACTCAAGTTCTTCATCCTATGCATAATAAAATAATTGCATCCGTTAATGAATTGGATCTTTTTCATAGCTTAGGATTTATTGTCGATCACATGTACACCTTATGGGAATTAGTGCTCACCGCCGAGCCCATTGTGGTTATAGGAACATCGCCCGCGGATTGCTCACATATGGTTCAAACTCTCGTTGCCATAATAGCTCCATTAGAATATTGCGCCGAAGCAAGACCATATTTTACCATACATGACAGTGAATTTAAAGAGTTTACCCGCGACCGTGGAAAAATTCCACCGCCTCTTATATTAGGCGTAACAAATCCATTTTTTGTAAAACTTTTAAAGGATTGGCCCCATTTATTGCGATTACCCGATAATCAGGTAAATATTATTAAAATACCTCATATTTTATATCTGATCTTGGTAATTTGCTTTAAACTCTGTCTTTTTAGGTTAGCTTACAAAAACAGCAACAATTAACGACTAAAAATGTTCTTAATTCCAATTCAGTCACGTCTATCGGAATTACAGGCCCTTTAAAGACTTATAACTCGAATCAGAATACGACTGGGAGCAATGGTGGCGAGTCGTGGATCCCTGGCTTGTACACAAAATATAAGCCTTTTCTAAAGAAGGATAAATCACTCATTAAAAAAGTTATGTTAGGCCTGAAAACGAAGCGCCCAGAACATGTGCAGACAGCATTGCTAAGACGACATCTGCTTGAATTAACGCAAAGTTTTATGATACCGCTAGAGCGGTATATGGCTTCTCTGATGCCTTTGCAAAAAGATATTAGTCCGTTTAAATCGGCGCCAAACACGAATGCTTTCAAACTTGATGACTTTCTTGCAACCCTGGAATTATCGGGTCCACAATTGACCTCAACTCTGAAGGGTGATTGGAAAGGTCTTTATAGACGATTTTATACTTCACCAAATTTTCGTGGTTGGTATGATTCCCGTTACAAAGAATTACAATTAACATTACAAGACCTTCAACTGCAAGCACTCTCTGAAGCGAATTTAGAACAATGGGCGCGCGATAAACAGGAAGTAGAAATAATTGATATGATTCTCAAATTAAAGCAAAAACTGAATCTCTATAATGAAAAATTGGTAAGCGAAACCAGTTCCTTGTGTGCCAAACGTCATACGCATAGCGCGGCAACAACACGAGACCAGATAAGAGCTCAAATTGATTGCATGAAAGAATTGTTACCGCAAGACTTAAAGAACATTGTAAATATATGATAAAAGGACTTTATGGAATTATCACATCCATCAATGGTGATCCATCACATATACTACGTATGGAAATGAATCAAGCATACGTTCACATATAAAGCTTTAATTATTGGATTAAAGAATTAAGTTTGTACGCAGGTTTAACCAAATTCGCATTTTCTATAATTTTGCATGTTTGATATATTAAAGATGGATAATGGTGACCCGTGAAGAGCGAGATACGTTAGCGCCCCTCCCCCCTTTCAAATTATTAATGTATTTGTATATATCGATTAAGTTAAGATGACTCGACTTGTTTTAAGGAAATCTTTTAAGTTGCAATTTAGCGAATATGTAAATATATAATGAATGTATACAAAAATCAATTTGCTTTACGTCTTACATCAAACGGATTTAATATTCTGGTAGTCGAATTTTAAATAAATGCTCAATGCACTTCGCTAAAACATAAGATCCATCGAGAAAACGAGTATCGTTTATATTGGAGAAAGAATTGTGTATGCGCTTTGAATCAATCGGAAGCAATTTCCTGATATAACATTTGATTTTGAAATATTTAGACCGATCACTTGAACTTGATAACTTGAACTTTTGTCTCAATTACAATTCGACTGAAGATTAATTTAGAAGTGATGTACAAGGTGCCACCTAACTCAATATAGGACTTACGCAGGCTTGCGAGAATTTAGCGAGGCATTACGCAAATAAGAACAAATCGACCGCTTTGCTTAGTGTACAAAAACGTTTGATTAAAATCTTACCTTATGGGTACATGAAGTTTGTGCGGATGCATGCAACATCTTTTATTATACCTATCATTTCAGAATGACTTTCTGAATCGATCTAAGCTTGTTCGTTCGCCCGTTTGTCCGTTCTGCCTCCTTTTGTTTAACCTACAGAAAGCAATTTGGGAGATATAATTATGAAATGTGGTATACTGACATATTTTGATCTAGGAATGAGTGCTATTGAAAATCGTTCGGATTGGGCCACACTTTCGACTATTTCCAGCATGAGGTCTCATTTTGAAAAATCGTTGTATGAATAACTATTTAGCGAAATGGTGTAGGGTAGATAATGGTGAACCGCGTCCCACTAGCGTTTTTTTATTATATCCTACATAAATTGTAGCACAAGGTATATTAAATTTGTGCAGATATACACAACACTTGGACGGAAACACTTGAAGTGAATTGAAATGGACGACGTTTTCGACCACTGACATTGCTATTATCCCCTCATCTACTTTGCTCTTAGCAATGATTTAAGAATTCCTATTAACAGCGCTGTTATAAGGTTTCGTTTTTTTTAACATAAATTACTTTCTCTATACGTAGCTCTATTCATTGCTTAATAAACAATTAAATATTTGATCTTTTCTTGTTAATATATTCTACCCTGAAGCGTAGAATGCAATATCTATATAAGGCATACATAAGGCACTTGATAAGAAAAGGAGCCAAAAGGTCTCGCGATTTTGTTGCGGGAGTAACTTTTTGCTTTAAACCAATCAAACTGAAAACAAGAACTTTTTTTCAAGTTTCTTTGCAAAAATATTGATTTTTAGCGTCATTTTTACAAACATCTTTCTGAGCTGAGTTTGAATTTGAAGAGAGCTCTAAGAGGCTGAAGTTGCCATTAATTGTTATATAAAAGCAAATGTAATCCAAAGAAAATATATATATATACCTATACCCATATATATATTTTGATTTCTGGTTTTTATTCTAGTTCATTAATGCATTTTTATTTCTGTAACTTTTGTAATTTAAATCTGCAAGCTTTAATTGGACAATATTATTTATTAATAGATGTAATACGTATGTTTAATTACAACAAACCTAATGATAAGTATGTGCGTATACTGATTTGTAATACACATGTATACAAGTTAATTTGTCGTATATATGTTTATAATATTTGTCTGTCTAAGTTCTAACTAAACTATGAGCATCACATAACGATTGCATTCGATTTAAAAATACAAATCTCTTCTCCAATCACTTCAATCAATCAATTAAGAAGTGGGTCAAATAGGAAATTATTATACTCTAAATATTGTTAATGCTTTACTTGTAGTTTCTTATGCGCATACGCATAATTATTTGTTAAGTGCATGCGCATTTCTGATGTTACATAACGGTATCGATTGTTATTATTATTATTATTGTTAAGGCAATGGAATACTTGCTTCGTAGTCGTTTGTTATTTATTACATAACAGATCTATAGTATTGGCTAATACATGCTGTTAACAAGGCTAAGAGCTGCTTAAACATCATCTAAAGTGGGCAACGATATAACTATTTCACCGATTGGTTGTACATCGGTGCCGTCATTTGAAACGACGATGCGTTGTTCAGCATTTCTCTGTTTATTTGTTTTTAAGACAATTTCATAGCAATTGCTGTCCTGAGTTGTCTCATTTGACATTTCAAATAGATTCGGTGTGAGAATTTGTTCAGTAACTTCTAGACTTTCGATACGTGTCGTCTCTAAACGATAATAGCCATTTTCATCGACCCGATAAGTGAAACGTTTATGCCCGGAAGGCAATTGATAATCATGTTTTTTAATAAGATGCACTGAAAGCGATTTGCCATTTTTAAATGGTTTGTCACAGCAATGGCAGATATAAATGAATGGCGTGTTCTCATGGACTTCTAAGTAATGCTAAAATTCACATTGAAATAATAAAAAAAAAAACAAAATGAATTAAGAATTTATATAAAATGATTTTATATTACTTACCCGTCTGAGAGATTGATAGGTGCGAACCGTGTAATTGCAGCCTGGTTCTTCACACCGGTGCACTTCTTTAGTGTGCACTAATTGAACATGTTGATTGAGGTCAGATTCGCGTACGCAACGATACTCGCACTCTACGCATTTAAATGGCTTATCCTTTAAATGACGATAGCGTATATGAGTGGCCAATGCGCTAGCCGATGAACAAGTCATATCGCACATATTGCATTTGTAACAATATACGTGTTTTACCATATGAGAACGCAACAATTTCTCCACGGCAAAGAACTTAAAGCACTGAGCACATTGGTATTTATTGGCTTTAAAAAATTTTAAATTACAATTAATTATAACGAGAGTTCCGTAACATTCTATAATGTATTTATGCACTTACTATTATTGTCGGATTGTCGACGCAAATGGTCGAAAAGTGTAGTTTTGGTGCGAAACAATTCGCCGCAGTGGAAACAAGCGACCTGCTTTTTATTCGAATGTGTTCTAATATGTTCAATTAGTCGGTATTTGTTGTCCATTTGCTTATTACAGAAAATCCAATTGCATTGAATCTTTGGTCTTTCATCGTCCGGCGACTTTTGTATTTCGTATTCAAAGGAAGCATGCTGCACAATATGGTCTTGAAATTCAACAATGGATACAAAAGTTCTTTCACAATCCGTCCATTCACAGTTAAAATTGCTTTTAAGTTCTGGTATTTTATCGCAAATTCTAGCTGGCCCACAACACTTTGGTATACTCGGGTTTATATCACACTCATATTTCCCCTGTACCAACAAGGCGTTATAATAGCCGTGATAATAGATATGCCTTTGAATCTGGGTTAAACACTTTGTATTAAATTCACAGGAACCCCATACACATTTATAGATAGCATCGCAATCAGGATTTAAGGCTTCCAAGTGCTCCGTTATATGACTATTCAATTCCCAGTCGCTGATACATTTCGCCGAACAATCAGCCCAGTTGCACGATATCAAGAGCGGTTCAATCTTTCTCTTCTTGCTGCTCATTTCATTGAACTTAAATATTAATTGATTATTTGAAGAATTGAATAACGGTACACACACAAACGTGCCAAAAAAAAAAGAATCGCCCAGACAAAGTTCTTCTACACACCACACGCGCCGCAACCTATACAGAATAGAATTTTTTTGACATGTTTCATAAAAACCGTATTATTTTGACAACACAAAATTTGTTCCTTAAAAACATAACAAAAACACACGGTTTGATACAATTTAAATGCAATAGAGAGAGACAGCTACAAATATTTTACGCTTGCCAACACTTTTTCAATATTTCGCGGGGTGATCATGTAAGCAGGCGAGTATCGTCGTGATAATGGCCTATGAATTTTGTTCGAAGAAAATTGGTTATTGCCAAGAAGCTAATCAGATCCCATCGTCGCCAGTTTTCCAATATTTCCCTTGAAAGTACCGAATACAATCCACTAATAACTGAGAGAAACGAAAAAATTAGACCCAAATTTATGTTTATTGGTTTTGTATAAATAAACTACATACGGCAACCAAACAAGCATCCAAAATGAAATGAATATTGTGCAGAATATGTGTTCGGGTATATGTAGCTTAAGTTAGCTCGATATTTGAAAGAAAGATTTTGCTTACTTTTACCAAATTTCTTTTTCTGCACAATTCGCAACTATAATATCGGACGCAGTTTATTTCTTTTCATTTTTGAATTAAGAATTCATTTTCTAACAGCTGTTTACATTTTTCTTTTACAGCTGTTTGTTTACAAACGCAACTCTAAGAGAGTTAGAGGTAACTCTGCTTGGTTTATACTTAATATCAATGCAAATTTGTTTGCAGCGACAGCAATTTTACTGAGATAGCGCGTGTTAGGTAACATCTGAGAGTAAGCGTCTGTATTTGTTTGCAATTGAGAACAATTGTACAAGTCAGCTTGCATTTGCTTACAATTAAGAATAATTCAAAGAGTCAGTCTGTATTTGTAAACAACCGCCCGTTGCATTGAAAAAACGACTATAAATTTGGTAACATCTGAGAGTAATTATTATATACATTATTGCTTTATTGGCAGCCTTCTAAATTTGACTCAAACGAAAGGCAAGGGAACAAGGAAAAATAATTACATTCTCAAAACGAAGGTGTTGTAATCAATCAGCTTGACATTCTCTTTCCCTCTCCCTCTCTATATTATTAACAGAAATGTGGTTACCATAATATTTCATAAAGCAAAAAAAGAAAACGCAAATTTAAATAAAAATGAAGAGCAATAAGGCGATCGTTTACCGTTTAGCTCAAGCGCATTGGCGATAGACGCCAACAAAATTTGTCCACTTGATAAGATCCTCTTGGCGAAGTTGGTTTCTGTCCTCCCTAAAAAATTTCAAATTTGCTAATTACACGATGAAACGTATACCTGTAATCCTTGATCTTTACGAAGATAAGGAAATCAAAATGAACTCTTTTTTTTTTCACTTTTGCTTCATTAATTGAACAACATGATTTAGTCCACTCTTTTTTTCGCCTATCCGCCCAATTCGGGACCGTTGGCAAGGCATAAGTGCTTTCACGAAATCCATACGATCTCAAACGATATGATATTAGCCTTAACTGTTTCAGTAGACTTTAACCATCTGCGTACAAATGGCAATGTAGTGTCGTAGTGAAAGCTCTTGTAATTGTTTTAAAGAATAAGAACCAATAGAAGCAAATACAGAGCTACCATTCAATCAATTGACTGTAAAATTATTGCAACGTTTCACGGGTATTGACTAATATGGTTGTGGATGCCGCCTCCAATAATAATCCGCATAGCTGATTTAAAGTAATGAGGACCTGAATTTATTTTTTTTTTTTAAGATTTTATGCCAAATCCTACGGAACTAGAAGAAACTTTGATTAACTGAAAGCTGTCTGCCAGCGAATAGTGACCGATTGAAAGCAAATACATTTTTTTTAAACTTAAAAATAAGGTTTCTACTGCATGAAGAAGTAAAATATAGTAGAGAACTTTATGTTTAACCTTTTACTTGCATTTTCGTTTCCATACCTCTCTCCTATCGTCGATAAATGGGATTGCAATTAAAATTGCGCTTAAAATAATCGCACCTAACAAAATAAAAAATAAATACATCCTAGATCAATTTGAGATTCTGGATCTATTTAGTCGATTTAGCCGTGTCCTTCCATCGTCAGTTGTTCAGATTTGAAGAAAGACTACGTACAAATAATGTGTTCAGAATAACAAAGCAAATCGAAGAACGAAAATGAAAAACCTCAAGGGAAAAGAAAAAAAGAAGAGAAAGATTTCGAAAAATTGCTGTCAACAGCCAAATAGATACAGCAGATTTCGATCCAAATTTTGGTGCACATATTTACCAGACAAAATTTTCGTGAAACAAGAAACCGCAATAAGAAAAAAATCTTGCAGTTTTTGTATATTGAATTGGTGAGTACTTAACAAGTTGCTTATAGCCAATTACAACTTGCTTATTATTGCTTTTTTTTAATGTAATTGAGAAGTTCTAGGTAGCCTCGTAGAAAACTATCTAAACTGTATTTGTTTATGAGCTATTTAATTGGGGAAAGGGCGTAAAAAAGCTTCGCATTAACGGCACTTTTAGAATTGGTTGAACCCTGCTGTGTCCTTTGGACTAGAAACACCTTAGATTTTAAATACTTATCCCGATTTTACTTAAATCTCCTTCTTTTCAAGCTACAGCAATTTTTGAATTTTCCTAAGCAACGTATGAAATTCATCTTCCAAGATTCTAAATACTTCAACGTGTCGTAATCAGAATATGTTCAATTTTGATAATTGCAGGACCAATAGTCAGAGACAATTTTGCACAAGTTCCTAAAAATTACAACAAACAAAATATGTTTGCGTTTCTCTTGGGTCCTGATTCATCCCTTAAATTAATGCTAACGCAGCGACTTGTCGTATCGTCTCAACTTGTGCCTATAAAATTAAACGAAGAAACAATTTCATTCCCTAATTTGGACATGGAACCATTTGGCCACAAAAATCGATGGAGCAAATCCTAGCATACCGTGCATCTAGTGACGTATGGTTCAAAAATTCTTAAAATAAAACTGCTCAAGGACCCCACTATCTCGTGCTGTGTTCCCCCGCGCATTAAGACCTAAGGTAATATTCATTATTTCGAATTATCAAAGCCACGAACAAACAAACTTACGTACTAAAAACTTTTGATGTTTTGTTCCAATATTCTGCAAGCAATCTTTTTGAATTAATAAGATGCACTGTATGCGCCCTTAACATTTGGGAACAAATCTAAAAATTTTAAGTTTTGCCACCTCTTTTATTGCGCTTATTACAGGCTAAGTGAAAATAAACAAAATCTTATGGTTGAAGGAATACGTGTGCTTGTTTATTTAGCATGAGTTTGAGCCTTTCTCATCTGCGTAAGAATGTTAGATAATTCCTCACGCTTTCTCTTAGCGCGGATGTGTGTGCCAAGGCGGCGTTTTAAAAATTTCAAAGCGCGCTTATCTTTGGACACTTTCAACAATTCCATTGTCCTCTTTTCATAAGGAGCGTGTCCTACCACCTCACGCACCAAATCGCGCATAAATTTAGTATGGCGAGTTTGAATCTGTAAAAACAAAACCCAAAAAAATTGGCATTAAAAAAAAAACATTCAGCAAAAATTTCTAACAGCTTTTCAAACATCTTTCCTCTGCAAATTTTTTGCGGATCTTAAAATGAAAAACAATATTAAAACGATCAACGCAAAGGCTCTTCTTTTTACTATAATCTGCTAATGAATTTAGGCTAAGTATTCGATGACTGTTGGACAACCAATACTCACATTTTTCAAACGAGAACCACGTAAACCTTTGACTTTCTTGTCGCCAGTGTATTTTACATTCTTCACCTTTGTTGTTTTGTGTCCCTTATTGAGACCGATGCAGAGTTCATATCGTACTGCCATTTTGACTAAAAGGAAAAAAATCTCAATAAATTAAAAACAAAATAAAACACTTTGAAGTAAATAAACTGTTCAATTAATTTTCGGCTACCACTACATTATTTTTAATGTTCTTTGATTGATGTTATAAATAAACAGTATTTTACCATTTCTTCACCTACCTTCGCAATTGTCAGAGGCGGAAAGAAGCTTTATTGAGAAGAAAAGTCAAAATCAGGAAATAGCATTCGGAGCAAAGTGCAGGGTTGTTAAAAACAGGTATTGGGTTTTTAGTTTTTGACAACAGGAATTTATAACAATGTGTCTTCATTAGGAAGCAGATCTAATATATTATTTGATAATATTGCAGATTAGCACGAACATAAATCTTTACCTGTTATTGTAAGCAATTGAAATTTCTATAGCTTTTCTTGCGATTTGTTGAAGATTAAAGGGCATTTAACCATTTTTGTAATAAATATTCGTAACTCTTCTCTATGTATGCAAACATAAGAAGACTTTCAACGTCTAATCACTTTATTTATTAGTAAATAAATTTAGTTAGCATCGTAACGTTCATTCACGCTTTATCAATAATCAACTACAAAAGTTATATTAAATACTTTTTTAAATCATTTTCTCAATAATGCTTTACGTCGTTGGCCAATCATATTTTACACTTACCCTTTTACCTTTTCTCATATTCATTCTACTTTTGTATTTAGCTACCTAAAGTTTAAGTTTTTTGTTGTGGCTTTTTTTTACCTTACAAATAGGTATCAAACATGCAGCTGAAGCTTCAAATTATTAAGCTGCATACTGAATCGTCATAAAATTTTTACAAGCCAAGATCAATGATTCAATGATTGCTATGATCTTTTTGCTTTTTTCCACTAAATGTTTATTCAATGCGATCGCACATATTAGCTAATTTTATGCCATGTAAATAATAGACTTAAGTTCCCAGTTTATTCTACTATAGGATTAAATTGGATTTGTTTGGTAGAGTTTTATTATGATACTGTCTGCTAAGTAAAAACATGCTCATTAAAAAAAATATATAAATACAGGTCTATAAGTTTCTTCTTTGTCTGTTAAGTTATCCCTAATATAAATTTTTCTGAATTGTAATTACAGAACTTTTGAACATGTTTATCCCCTACATGTGCATTCGACTTGGGAATCTTGGGAAATATTCTATTTATTTATTTTTTTGCAAAAAAAATGGCTAATGAATACAATAAGAAACATACAAAAATACTCTCATTATACGATTTGCGATTAACTTAAGGTTGTAGATTATGTTAATTGATACAAACACAATTTTAATGAACTCTCTTATAGTCTTTTACAGTGTGTTACCGAATACTTTTTAAGCCACACGCTAATATTTTACAAGTATTTAGTGAATGCAACTCTATGTATATGTGTTAACCGGCCATATTGTTATTGTATGTAGTGAAGAAAAGGCTACTGTTCAAGACACGTGTTTAGGACGAATAACTAATAGTGAAAAACTGTGAAAAATTGAGAAAAAATTTACCAAAAAAGAAAAAACAATTAAAAAACAGTAAAAATTAATTGCGTCTGCAGTAATCAAAAGAATATTTTTCATTTGTAGCTTTCAAATTAAGGTGAGTGTAAAAAAAATGTTTAAACCGAAAACGTAACCTAGCTGTTTTCTGGCAAACAAAATTTTTTGCATAATTTTCTTCGTTATAAAGAGAGTTTAAAATTTATCGTGAAAAATACCTATTTGCATATAAAGTTTTGTTTTTTGCATTTTTCCATTGGGAAGACAAAGCGCCGCTGTATATTGTTTCTTTTTTTTTTCCATATATTTTGTTTAAATATCGATTGAACGTAAGTCGCAGTTGTAAAAATCAGTCTGTCTACGGGTGTGTGATGGCTGGCTGATGAGCAGTGTATATTGTATGCAGTTTTTTTTTTTATAGGGTTCGTGTATAACATAATCAATATTGCCAACACCTCGTTTTTTCGGTGACTGTGAAGTCACTGATAATATGCACGATTTCGCATAGATTTAGATGATTTTTGTTGTGAATTCGTTATTGGCCTACAAAAAAATTATTAGAATCATTGAAAGAAATTAAGGCAAATGGTAAAAGTTTTTGTTTTTTTTTTAAAGAAGCAAACGAAAAGGAAAACGAAAAATGTGCACTCAGCAATTGTATACCGGCTAGGGAATGCATCAAGGTATTTCCCGTGTTTATAAATTGTTCCATATATATATTTATGTATATATATATGTTCAGGGGATGAATGTGCTCAATTATAAACTCTGCACAAAATATTTATTATATCATAATCACTAGCAAAAGAGCAAGAAACGCGTGCATGTAGTATTTTTGAATTGTTCCAATGAAATTAATAAGTATTGCACTTCTTCTTTTTCAATTTGACTGTTATATTATTGTGAAGATCTATTATAATAATAATTACGTATTTTTCTTAGTCTATTTGTTTTCGTTGATAACCTTTAGGTTCTTTGTGTCGTTATATATTTAAATTTCGCATGAGTATATTTTATTTGTTTAACATTAACACTGACATTCAGATAATGTGCATTAAGAAAGATTTTTTATTTTAATTGCATTAAAGAAATGAAAACAATTCAAGCAGTCATTGCAGTAAACAGAACAGAGCGTTTTTCTATTTTTCTTTTTTCCTTCAATAAATATTAATTAATTGGAGGCTTCAACACATCAATATAACGATCTTAAACATATTATATTCGTTACCAGTAAGAGTTTCCATTCCTTTTGTGTACTTAAAGACACACAGTAAACACATTTCGTTTCACGCTGTGAATGTGTCCGTGAAAGTATATAAGCAAATATATGTTGTCTTGGATCTTTTGTTATATTTCTAGACAGAAATATTTATATATATATATGTATAGTAATTTGCAGAGCGTTGTATTAGCTCTTCCTCCTTTTTTAATGTTGCCTTAGTCTTAACGTCGTCTTTACTTTGCGAGGAATCTAAGCTTTATTTGTGAGGGATTTAAGCGAATTGCTTGCACTACTTTTGGCGAGTTCTTGTAATTTTTGATCTCTCATTGAAAAGATGACATGCCCAACTTTCTTTTTTTAATATTGCCGTACATATCAACGTGTAAAGAAATAAAGGTAATCTGATAATAAAATCAATGCAATCACCAATATTGGCGGTGCGAAGGTTTCTATAACTCTAATTCTATAACTAAAAATTTAAAATAAACGATTTTTAGCAATTTCTGTATTCAGCATTCAAAGTCATCTCTCAGCTCTTATAGCAATCTGATAGGTAATTCAGCACAGGCATTGCTTTAAATTAAGAAATCATTCATTCATTGTCATATACGCAGAGGGATAGAAGAATAGGTATCTGTTGTTTCACGTTGATGGGGCCATTCCTTACCCATTTCCTCTTATTATATACAATGTTGTTCTGTCTATTATGTCTAGACGACCCGACGGAATCTTGTTTTCATATTTTTGCTTTTTTTGCGGTGGTTGGAAGCATTCGTGATGAAGTTATCGTGAACGACCTAGTGATGCAGTAATAAATTTGCACGTTTTTCCTTGATTTCGAAGCAAAAAGAATCCATCTTCTTTCTTGTGCAGCTAGAAGAGTTACTAAAGCAACATAAAAGCCCTCAACTTTATGCTGCGAGAGTTAGTTCGGTTAAAGATATGCATTGATTGCTTCGTTGAAATGTAATCCATTCAAGATACGCAGATATCAGAGAAGATGGATTGCGGATGCATTCCTGCATTATTGCTGAACGGAAGTCAGTCCCTTATTTAATAAGGTAAAGAAAGATACGTTAATGCTTCTGCGCACCGTGGTCGACGGGAGAAGTCATTGCCTACATTTACAGCTCTTTCATGATATAATCGAAAATCGAATTTTTTTTTTTGCTCTTCTTGTGAAGGTATAAAAATATGGAACCTTGCGTAGGGCGGCATTTCCCCATTTATTGTAAAGGAGTTTTTCAAGATTTTCGTTTCAAATCGAACTCCTTTTGTTCTTCGCTGCAATTTGCAAAGGGCAAGGACAATATCATTTTCTTGTCAACGTAATGAAATGAAGAAATTTTTGTTTAGAATAAGAGCGACATAGAGAATAGAAGCACACATTGCGAATGTAAACAAATCAGGTGGCAAAAGAGGCAAAGCTAAAAACTAACGGGAGAAAGTATTCAACGGTAATTATTTAAAAAAAAAAAAACAAAAAAAAAAAATGTAAATTTGTAATGAGAACAACGCTTTCCGATTTTCATGATATGATATTTTGGTTTAGTAGATGCTTGCTTATCAATCTGCTAAGGCCAGTTTTGTGCCTGACGATAACGAACGCGTAAATCGATACTAATCGAAATTAAATCTTTTTGAATTTTGAAAAAAAAAAAAAAAAAAAAGTATTTTTAATTTTCATATATGTCGTAAAATTGGTTAGCGGTGGCTTAAATATTATTATAATAAAGAGGATCCGTTTTTTGCCTTAGAACACAATTTTAACGGTTGAAAAAACATTTAATTAAGAAGAAGCGACCTGTGAAAAATTTTGTAACGATTTCATAATACCGTAACCGTACAAATTCTTTAAGGCATTTCGTCAAGTGCTGCTGGCATAATTGTGTTTGCTTTTATTTTATTTATTTTTTTCATTCATTCAGCTTTTTTTTTGTTTTTTCAAGTTGTCGTAATCATTAAAATATCATCTTCTAATAGGAAGGAAAGTATTGAAAGGTATTTGATTAAATGGCCTGTAATTCGCAATTGGGTTTCTCCCTTACTTACTCTCTCGACAAGCAATTGCAGTCGCTTGCTTGCTTGGGATCAGATGCGAAAAAGTTTTATCATGATCGCTTAATTATTATCTACAGTGAAAACTGCGTAGATGGTTTTTTTTTTTTTAGTCGGTCTAAAAATATAAATATTTTCAATACATAGACATATAAAATATGTCTTATTATGTACATAGGTTATATATATATATATACAGAAATAAACGTATTTATGTTGGACACATTTCGCATGGGTGGACATGTATATAAAAAACAAAAAAAAAAGCAGATAAAGTAGGAAAAAACAAAAAAAAAAATATATATATATAGAAAAAAGTAGAAAAAAAACAAAGAAAACTAACAAATGAAATAGTGACGATCTAAATTGTTTTAAGTTAAATTTAATTTTGTTAAAAAACCATTATATATACATATATATATATATATATGAATTTTCTATTCGTGCTTTTTGAGAAAAAGGAATAAATATTTCTACATAATTCAAAATGTTACCGTTCAATTGAATTGCATCGTATATGTGTTTGTATTATGTGTGCATCAATCAGTTTTAAATACCGCATATCTATCCGATATTTGCAAATAGCATTTGTCTGCATGTGTGTGTCTGTCTCTTTATGTGTATATGCGTATGTGTGTGTGTGTGTGATTTTGCACGTGATTTCTTATTTTGTTTTTAAATTCAAAGACAATGTAAAAAGTTTGAGGAACATATGTATAGTGGCACCAAGCCAAACTTGGATATAAATACTATAAAGGATCATGTGCTTTCTAGCTTGTTAATAGGAAAATTGAAATATGCTTTGACAATAATAGGAAATCTAAAGTCATCTTTACAAGAAAATATGTCATTTTATTTTGTATGTTTTTTGTTTTTTAATAATTTAGAAAATATATATACATATATATATATATATATATATATATATATATATGTCTTGAAAATGACGAATCTCTTCTGATGGTTATTCACTTTCTTAGATAAACATTCGACATGAAAGATACTTTGCCTCTAATTATATAGAAATATAGGTAGAGGCGTTGATTGAAACTTTGTTTATATAAATAGTGAACTGATCTCTTTTGGTTTAATAGAATTTACGAAGAAAATATAAGATTTTCTTGCAAAATATTAGGTGTACAAATAAATTCTTTCGGTTTTTTGACAAAAATTCAACTCGACTTAAACTATTGCTATAAAACTCAATAATCGAAATATGCTTTATCGTTATATTTAGTCTTTTGCCATTTATCGCATAGCTTACAAAAGCTCTAGCGGCAGGCACTTCAATTTCTGCAGCCTGCTAACCTACGAAATATGAATGCATTGATCGGAATAAGCGGTCATTGCAGAGTGCGATTTCATCTTCGTAGCTTAAGTTGAAAATCGCTTTCCGGATTATTTTTGCTGAAGATGAACGGACGTACGAAAATTTCATCGTTTCGATCAAATCTTCCGAAAACAACTTTCTAACTATTTCGTAGTTCACTGCATTTTTATTCCAAGACAATTTAACCATTTTCGTAGCTTCAACGACATTTTGTCTCAGCTTAATCCAGGTGTAAGCGCAGAAAAACGCAGTGCTGCAAATGACATCAATCTCTTTAAACTTCGATATGGAGTGAACGAGCAGTTGTAAACTTGAAAAAATTCAAGCTTGCATCGTTCAAACATCCATATCTAAGTTATTTATTATATACGCGAAATGCCGGGAAAATTGAATGCATGCGTCAGGTCCATTTAACGAAGCCACCAATTTCAGCGTAAAGAGTTTAGTTGTACACCTAATACTTGTAACTAATTTCGAATTGAAATGTATTTATTTAGCTGAAGTTGGTGTAAGTTATTTGAAAACTCTTTTGAAAATTATATGCCCGCCTTGGAGCTTGGTTTATGAAACTAATCTTTATTTATTTATTTTTATTTGATATTGATTTCATGATCCCAGTAAAAAGCCATCATCATCTATCTGTATGGCGAAGAATGTCGATTCAGATTCTCACGTTGATTAAGAATACTTCCTATATAAAATTTTTCACATCGTCAAGAGAGGAATTCTACTTGATTGACAGGACAATAGAATGAAAGAACAAGAATGAAAGTTGGTCGTCCAGTGTTGTGTATTACTCCAAAAAACTATACAACAAACTCCATATCCACTACCCTTTTCAAGAGATATTGTCTGTATATATATATATATAATATATATGTGTACCTTATGAAATCTCTGACTCTTGTTTGGTGTGTTGGTTCTAATAGTATATCTGTACTTTTCAATGTTGAATGTAAATATTTATACATAAATGTTTATGGGAACACCTTTCAATATGTTTCAAATAGCTGATGTGATGTCCGTTTCGAGCGAACTCAATTTTCTCGATTTTATAAGAATAGTACACTACAAGGACCGAAATTAAATTGATCATAGGTATTCTTTTTGAATTGAGAACCTTGTGAATGATAAAAGCTATGAATTGAAGGGGAGAAAATTGTATAAGAAATCTCGTTTCTTACTCTTGGTGCTAGAAGATATGTTTACCCTGATCTCAGTAGTGCATCTTTTCTAAACGCGAGGCATCATCGTTGCTGATTAGTTTGAATCTTGAAATCATTGTAAGGATATTGGCTGTCTGTAGGTCCCATTTAATTCATATTTAGGCATCATTTGGTCTTAGCTATTTAGTGCTGTTAAAGAGTGTTAGGGAGAGGGAGAGGGGATGAGAGGATGGGAAGATAACTGTAGAAAATTCCAATCGTTCATTTAATTTCTCTCCTTTACCATTACACTGAACTTTATACGTGGGAAAATTGTAGCTCTGATTTCCAATTATAGGTTTACGAGTGTAATTATACAAGTTTTCAACATTGATTTTTTTTCTCTTCTCGTTACGGTTTCTTGAAGTTGTATAAAGATATTCACATTGTGTCAATACTGCAGTGCCGTCTTACGAGGCAATCTGGCATACAGTATGCGACAGGTGAAACTTATGTGTATAAAAAATGCGTAACAAGTAAAAACGCTATGGTGGGTTCCGGCCCACATTATTGACACACCGTACACTAAAACCCTACAGCCATTAAATGACGCTTTATATGGGAAGTGGTCCGATCCGTACATTTTTTAATAGTGTTCGTCTTTGGGCCAAAGCAGGTATCTCAAAAATGGGACCTGTACGTCGAACACAAGAGAACAAGACGGGCAAAGGGAGAGACACGTTTAAGTGAAATCAGAAAGTGATCCTGAATTGGTCGATACAATAAAAGTAGGGTCTATCTCAAGCTCTGCCAGGTGTTGCATACACACGCACAAACTGTATAAATCCTTGTACTACAATTGATGTATGGTACAATAAATGATAGGTCTCGAAAAGTATACTTGAATATAATTAGATTGTCGTTTTCTTTTACGCCCCATAATAAGCAAGAATATTTAGAACCGCATCTTATGGTTTTTCTTTTCGAAAGTGTCGCGATCTGTACGTTGAACACAGGAAAAGAAGACGGACAGACGGACAAACGGGTAGACAAGCGATCGGTAGAATGAAATTATTCTTATAAGTTATATTATTATTACTATCGTTATAAAAATTTAGAAATTTTCCACAAATTATGTGGATTATAGTATGTGTGAGGAAAAAAGCGGCTCACTTTCAAGAACGGGTTGGGTGGGCTAACTGAAACGAACGTCTTTTCGATGGACATTAAAAAGGTACGTTTAAGGGAAAAGGGAATTTTTTTGTAGCGAAACAAGCAAGCACATATATTCTCTTTAGGATTTCTTTAGGATTTTTCAAACCTCAAAGGCGAACGAATTCGATTTTGTGCTCCCTTTGACGAAATTAAATTCATTTGAGTAGTTAGTTGAATGTGTCGGTAAATAGGAAATTAATATAATATTTTGGTTGTTTTTAGGTAACAATATAAAAGATATGAAGAATGAGTAAGATGATTGCAAGAGTTAAAGTCATGCCAGTTATATTATTCACATCCGTTCATATTCACATTTACAATTGATTCCTTTTTGAAGTGCATTATTATTTATTACATATTTTGTACAGATCTTTCAACATTCAGTCAAAATGGTATCTGGTCGTCCTCTTTTATATTTGTCACTGCCAGGAGTAGCATTTATTCTTGGCGTTTTCTGGTTTCGGCGTCGAAATAAAGGTCGTATAGAAAACGATGCAAAAAACAGCAGATGCGGTGGCGGCATAGAGATCGCACAGAAGAATACAGAACATTCTGAGAACTTTATAGCAAAAATGACTAATTCAAATAACATAGAAGAAAAGGGCGTGCCCTTACCTACGGAATCAATGAATATAAACAGTACGACGACACCAGTCGACGACGACAATTCTGCCAGTCGATTATTTGGAAAATCTGCTCCTATAAAAATCATACAAAACGGCAGGGGTGCGTCGCCTGCTAAACACGTTCTTCAACAGCAATTGGATTCTGCGGTTTTGAAATCGAAAATACAGGATGCTGAATACAAGCTTTTACGTTCGATTGATGAGGATTTCGAGAATCTATCTTCACCCGTTGATTTACCAGATTCAGTAAATAAGCGCATGTCGTTCTATTCGCGTAAAGTTGATGTGCAAAAGGATGAACCAGTCGTTATTACGGCCCGAACAACGCCTAAAATATCTCCAGAGAATTCATTTTTGGAGAGTAAATACATTAAAGAATGCGAGGAAAATAATAATATGGAATCTATGCAAAATAAGAAGGATAAAGTGCAACAAGAAAATGAGAAGAATGATAAAGAAGAAGAACAACAAATAAATGAAATACAAAAAGTTATTGAGGATAAGAAGCTACCGAGATTAGAAGAAATCGATAGTTGTGATGCTAGTGAAAAGCGAACTGTCGATGCCGCAAGCCCATCATTAAGTTTGTGTAGCGTTCAGTCGGGCGATTCTGGTAAAGGCTCCAGTCTGCCACGATCCGAAGCGAAACGTGCCAAGACAACATATGAATTCTTCTTTCCCAATAGTTTAGTGGGTCAGCTATATGGTCGTAAGCGGTCGTTTATTAATCAAATTAAATCGAAGACTAATGCAAACGTATTATTACGGAAACATCGCTACACTGGCAAAGTACGCATTTGTGTTATCGAAGGCACGGATAGTGAAATTCAAGCTGCATTGACTATGATACGTCAACGTTTGCCAGCCAAACGTTATCCGAACTTTACTATGCAAAGAATTCATTTCGCCCTTCCGCAAACCATAGTTCCTCTATCAACAGAAAGTCTGCTTAATCTTCAGGTATAATATAAACGGACGGCACTCACTCTCTCTGCCTTAATAATAATATTAATAATAATTGTATCCCTCAATTTATTTACAGTTACACTTGATTGAAGGTATAAATAATGATGTAGTTGTAAGTGCTATTATATCTGGTGGACATATATTTGTTCAGCATCCTTTGCATCCCTCACATCCCTCCCTGGCTGTGTTACAGAAATGTTTATATGACAGTTACTCCGCCGCAGATACACCCTTATTACCAAGCGTCGAAATTAGTGCTGTATGCGTAACGCCCGTTAATGGAATTTGGTATCGAGTGCAAATCATTGATAGCGACTCAGAGGATGCGCAGAGATGTATAGTTAAATTCTTGGATTTTGGTGGCTATATGAATGTTTTTTTCAAAGATCTCCGACAAATTAGATCAGATTTTATGGCAACTCCATTCCAAGCCACTGAATGTTTACTCTCCAACATCGAACCAATTGGTAGGCATTTTTCAATTTCCTTTTTTTTTTTTTTTTTTTAGTAGCAATAAAGAAAAATATTATTATAATTATTATGGCGTTTTGTTGTTACAGATTCTTGTTGGACTCCTGAGGCAGCTGATATCTTATGCAAGCTGACTAAAGGAATCGTTCTACAAGCGCAAATAGCTGGATACAATAGCCTTAATGTACCAGAAATCTATTTGTTTGCTTGCTTAGGCCCTAATGTAAGTATTCCGCTTTAATAGCATGGGCACATTAAAATGGTAAAAAGAAAAATGAGTTCGGGGGATATATATTAGTATGTTTTGTTATAAAAAATAAAAGCAGTTTCTTTCATTATTCATTGATATGAAATGCATCTGGAACAATGAAAATTTGATCTTTCCTCCCATTTGTCTGTCTATTGTCTGTCTTTGTCTTGCGTATTATTGTCATTTTTTATTATCCAGAGAGCCTCTTAATAGTAGTAGTAGTAGTAGTAGTAACTCCTTTCTGTTTATTAACATGCAACATTAATACAAACAAAGTGTGTTAAGTGGGTGTTAAGGCGAATTTTAGAAATGAATTTATTGTATGTTACTTGTTGCATGTATATAGTAGATATTTAACATGTCTTCTCTTCTTCTCTTCTTGTAGAATGTTATATTTATCAATAAGGAATTGGTTGCCAGGAATCTTGCAAAATGGGTTGATATAAAAGACTGATTAACAAATGATGATATTCAGCAACAAATAGCACTGTCAGCAAAAGCAGTGATCATATAAATTATTCAACAGAATTCAAGTTCTCAAAGCAAAATTACAAACCACACAAATTCAAATTAATGCACCGTAACTATGAGAAGAAGCCATATGCAAAAGAAAAAAAGAAACAATGCTATAGATTCAATGAATAATGCAAATCTCAAGAAAATAATATAAAATCAAGTGATGTTAAATTATTCAAAGGAAAATATACGGACGGATATGGAGAGAAGAATAACGAAAAGAAAATGAAAACAAAAGAAGAGATGAGATGGATCTGCAATCGTCTCGATGAAATTACTCGCGTCTAGAGATTATGCCACAAAATGCACTTTTTTAATACAATGCTAATACAAAAACAAGCTTTTAGACGTAGACGTCTTTGTAAATATATATGATATTAAAACTAGGAGTATAGAAATATATCTACATACATACACATAATATCGATACATATACAAAAATATTCTACAAACACGGGCTAATGATAAAAGTGCAGTCATTAATAAATAAAATGATAATAAGCAGGTACAGTTTAGATATTAAAATACAAAATGAAAAAAACTTGTTCATCAAAACCACAAATTTTGTTGTGGTGATGTACTTGTTAAGCTAAGCTGCTGAGTTCAGTTACGAAAACCATTATTGATAGATTATTATATGTACATATGAACCTAAAATATTATTTTCATTTTTTTTTTTTTTTTTTTTTTAAAAAAAATACTTATAAATTAAAATTAAAAAAAAGAAACCCCTCCCCTTTTTTTTTTTTTTTTTTTTTTTTTTTTTTTTTTTAAACAAAAAAATTTCGATACGTTCTTCATGTTTTGTATGAAATTGAAAAAAGGCATTCGACTCTAATGAGAAATTTTCATTTCGTTGACTACTATAAATTTCATTATTTAATTTATGCGAAGGTATTATTAGAGATTTTGTATTTTTGATTTTTCTTTTAAAATGATTTGATATGATGATTTTTTTTTTTCTTTTGCAAACACAATAATAGAATGCAATATTTTCTGTGTAACTTGGAAATTCAATTGAGTTTAACCTGAATACCTACTACATTCGTCACGGTGCTTGCACACCGATTCGAAAATTTGTTTTCTTCTCGCTTGCACGACGATGCCGTAGAGAAAATTTTTAATATATATTTTT